ATAGCCGTTAAGATTAAAAAGTCATCTGTCGTGTGTGTCATGCGTGACATATGTCAAACATTTCATTGATTATTAACACATATTGCCGCACAATCAATTTTATATATATATAAATAAATTTGTATAAACATTTTTCTGAAATTAAATATTTATAATAGTTCTTATTGTAATCTTTTATAATAGTTCTTTATTACTCTCGGCGTTGGTGCGGGTGGAGTGCGTGTGTTTCCGGATGGTACACTTAATTCCGGAATACCAAAACCATGGACAAACGTACAAGCTAAGGTACGAATACTTTAATTTTTTATTTAAAAATTTAATATGTTTTGATGTAGTGCTTTAATTTTCGTTCTAAAATAAACACTTTCTTAAAAATAAGTTTTTTTTTTTTAAATAACTACGTGAAATATTATCTTTGATTGTAGGCAATGTTGAATTTCTGGAACTCTCGAAATCAATGGTTACCAAGCTGGAGACAAGATAATGGGGAAAAGACTGCTTTTGTAATAGATTACGTTAAAGTGTGGGCTCTTTGAAGCAACATCGATATTCATGCATAATTCTTCATTTTTCTACCATTCCCACTATCTTCTTTTTAAGATTTGTAAAGGCACAAACCGGATCTTTTTTCGCGTATCAATTATATCGTACACATAGGCATTCAATATTGCCATGCACATGAAGAAGTAAGCCATCAGCAAAAGTTGGAAAGCCGGTTACTTTCTGATCCAATAATGGCAGAAGATTACAACGTTGCCCGCAATGTTATTGCACTTGAAATCCTCACAGAGATGCATAAAGTGCCTTTTTTTACCTGCATAACGCAATTAGAATCCTATAATTAGACGTTTCTGTTTCCAAGTTAAAAGGGAGAATGATGTTCCCGCGAAATCGGAAAGAAATTCAGGGTCGTCTGGAGCTGGTTTTACCTTTAATGATGCCTCCATTAAGCTGCTCGGGCGATCAACCTCTGATAACATTCTTGCCGATCATCACACGAACATAAAAATTTTTCAAACCAGCACGGAGTTTACGAAGGACATTTTCCGTAGAGACATAGACGATACCATTAGTCATACTTGCTTTAAATTTTGTTCGGACGTATTATATATTTCTTTTTTTAATATAATTATTTCTTTATTCTTACATATGTTGTGTATATAATAATATAGATTATGTAATAAAAAGGAATATCGAAATTACGGCTTAACTACTTATTATATATTCCGAAGTTGTTACATCATTATATGGAATGTGCATGGCTCGCAGCAAAATACCATGTCAGATTTGACATATTATGGCAATCATGTGGTCAAGGTCATTCCAATAATCAGTCTCAACTTTATTCGAGAATTCCATTTTTCGTTACGTCATGTAACTTAGTAAATTTCAAAAAAATGTATTTTCAAGGCCGTTGGTGCCTGATACTGACAAGTAAGTTTTCTTTCATAAACAGTAATGTACAAGCAAATCAAACGAAGGAAAGAAAATGTCTAAAGCACAATACCGACTTTCGATCTAGCCCATCATTCAAACCGGTTTACCTCGGTTAACATTGGAAACAAGAAAAAAGAGACATCATGCGGTTTCTTCCGTCTGCTTCGTGGTCGCTTCGCGACTTGATGCTCCAGCCGGATCCGATTAATTTAATGTCTACGGTGCGCACGTGTGCTATCCTACTGTAGCATAAAATCTCGACAAAAGTCGAACGACCTCAGTTCGACTTCGACATCTTGTCCGGTTACGTTTTTGCGGCTTCTTCTTCACACAGCAAAACTTTTTCCTTAGTCGATCGATAGCTCCCGCGGTAGCTACCACGATCTCCTCCTACAGTTGGCAGACGATTCATTACTGTGTTCTAACTCGCAATAAATTTTACTAAATGTGTGTTAAGTTGATTCTTTATCTTGTCTTAAGTCAGTAAGTCATTTGCAGAGATTTTGTGACAGATAATGACACTGAGAAAAGTGATTGTTATTTTGATCGTTTTCATTTGGATCTCTGATTCTTTAGCGGATTATCATCATCGCTCAAGGCGATCGGGTAAGTGATTTTATATTTTAATTTTTGATGATATATTACATATATTGATATATTACATATATTACTATTGAATATACTTATTGAATATACTTTTGAATTTAATATTAAATTTAAATTTTGAATTTAGATATCAATGATGTTGATTGCTCTTTTGACTATATAAAAGTTTTATTCCTAAATTAGCAGAATTGATATTTAAAGTTCGATAGAACAGAGTGATCGATAATATTATCTATTTTTTATCACAGTATCTATCAGAATATTAAAAAATAAATCCAAATAAAAAAATCTAAAAAATATTTAAAAGATGCTTTATAAAAGAGATAAATGATTAAAATCTCTTTTAAATTCTGTTTACATTTTTAAATCTATTGCTCAGCTAATGATTTATTATCTACTGAATGCAATTGTTGCATATACAATATTATATTTATTACTTATCGAATGGAAGCTTTTCAACAAAAACATGTATATAATCTATCTAATGATAGATATTATTGAGAAATGTATTTAAATATAAAATGATGTCATTATTTATGCATGACATATCAATTTTTCTTTTTCATAATACATGCGATTGAATAATTGAAAAGCTGTATTAAAAATATGTATTGTTGACAAAACCAGTTTTACATGTGTAATTGTATAAAAATTAGGTAATATACATTTATGGGAGAATCTTATTTCAGGTAATGAATACATACTACACAGATGTACAGCTACTGCGGAATTAATTAGAAAGCACAGGAATGAGGACGTTGCTAATATTAGCTCACGTAAAACTGAAGAAGACTTGGCACAATTGCAAATGCAACAAAGAAATTCAGGTTTTATAGCGACAGTTCCGATAGACGCTACTCAAACTTCCAATCAAATTTCGAGCGGTATTTACCGACGTATGACTCATATGAGGAGACGCGGTAGTAATGGGCACGCACGCCGAATCACAGGCAAACATTTGGCGGATACACCCCTTAAAACTGTGAATATTGATATACCACAGGATAGACCGTCGGCCTTCAAGAAGAAGATTCCATTACCGGAACTGGTGCGTGATATAGCCAGTCGAAAAATTGATTCGTCACCGCATGTAATAATCATCAAGTCTGTTATTTAATTTCTCCAACAGTATTCATAAAAGTATGCTACTATAAACTCTATTTTTATTGCAAACTGATATAATTGTATAATGTACAATATTTGTAATAACATTAAGATTATGTTGCATGTCATCAAAACATACAATCTTCCATAATAATTTATCGATCTTGCGTTCTATATATTATTATTGATAAATAATGCAGTTTTTTAAAATAAAATTATTTTAATTGTAATAAACTTTTTGAAAATTAAAACAAATATTGTATTAAATAAGTAAATATATGAAAGCATATATTGTTTATAATTTATATTAGCAATTTATCTACAAAAATCATACATTTTTCATAGTTACACATCACAGCTATGTGTTGCACACTGCAGCTACACTCTCAGGTAATTTTATCATTTCAACCTGTAAACAGAAATTTCTAAATAAGTTAAATAAACAATTTTATAAACAATTTTAAATCTCTTTCAAGTTACAAAATTCTGACCTTAGTTACTTTCATCGCCACTCCTTCTGGCAAATTCCTTTGAAGATATTCTAGAAAAGTATCTGCTGTTGATCCAGTCAATTTTAAAAAATCAAGGTAACGATAATAAGTCCTGATTTCATATTGAACACGATGCTTTTTATGAACATGAGCAGATTTTAATACTGTCCATCGTTCATGGATAGCTTTATATGGCGCTACACTAGGAACATAAAAGTATATTTTAACATTTATCAATCATTAACTAAACATTAATCAAAATCAACTAACTGAAAACCTACTTTCTACCTACGTTGATTTTCAAATGACCTGCGGCCATCATCGCAAATTGTCCATAACTCTTTAATACCGCTGGATCGTTTCCTCTGACTTCAATCTCAATTTTTTTATATAACTTATCTGGTACACCCTAAAAGATGAGCAATCTTTATCATCACACAAGCGCACTTCAAATACACAAGTAGGAGAATGACAATAAGTTTTCACAAAACTTACCGCGTTTATCTGAAGTGAAGACGATTGTTCCCTCGAGGTGTGTAGCTGTTCATCCTGCTGTTGCGTTGATGTGGAAAACGTCACAGGGGATGTATTATTTTGTAAACATTTCTGCACAAAAATGCCGATGTGTCCCGATTCATGTTGCACAAAGCCAGCGGTAATGTTTCCGAGAAGAAGCGGTATCTAACAGAGCATGATACATTACATGATTACATTTAACCTAACCTCAAACACAATTCGCACTGGCATCGCGCTAGTTTCTACAAAGGTACCTTTGACAGGAACATCTCGTCGTTATCAGCGAATAGACGTCTAAGTTGTAAATAGCTCCAACAATTTTGCAGATTTATTATATCTTCGTTGTATTCAACGTAACATCCATTCACTGGGTACGTCCAGCAGAACCACCGCGTTGCCACTTTGTATATACATATGTCATGTATCTACGTACCATCGGAAGCTAATTTACATGATTCAACGGCCAATCACATTTGCCTGTTCAATATTTGCACAACCACTGTCTTTGAATTTGGCCTGTACATACAATTCAACACAACCGCAACTAAAATCGTACAACAGTCATCTATATAATCAATCATGATGTCATCGTATAAGTATGATATTAAATAATAGTAAAATTCTGATTCTTCTTCTGTAAATAATACAATGTCAATTTGTTATAGAGTCTGTATCTGTGGTACCAAATTAAAATAACTGAATATCAAATAGCACAATACAATAGTATTCTATAAATCAATGATCAATGTACTTATAAAAGTTAAAAACATATTCAATAATTAAATATTGATATATGATTTCTTCTAATCACGACAGCCCTTATATAATTTTCATGCTTAAGTTTTAAATTAGAAAAATAATCCAATTATCTTAAATATATACAAATATATATATATAATTAAATTTGTTTCTGAGAAAAATGTTGTGTGTGCGTGTGTGTATGTGTGTGTGTGTGCATAAAAATTATGTAAAAACAATTTTA